ATAATAATTTATAATTCTGTAATTCTTTATTTTGGGGGATATGACGAATATTTACATCATCTGACCTTTTTAATTGTAATGGTCATCAGTCCAGGGCTCCCCCCTGGACTGCCACTCCCCCCTGGACTGCCACCTTAATGTGGTGGGGGAGTTTGAGTACTCGGATGATCCTGGGAGCTATGCTGTCTGGGGCTTCATGCCCCTGGTAGGGTCTCCCATGGCAGACAGGTCTCGGGTGACGAGTCAGACAAAGAGCAGTCCAGAAGACACCATGGACAGCACTCAAAAGAAATCAGTGACGTCGCCCGGCATGGCGCAGCCGGGGCCCCACCCTGGAGCCAGGCCTGGGGTCGGGGCTCGTAGGCGAGCGCCTGGTGGCCGGGCCTTAGCCCACGGGGCCCGGCCGGGCTCAGCCCGAATGGACGACGTGGGCAGTCCCTCCTGTGGGCCCACCACCCGCAGAGGGGTCCGTGGTGGCGAAACGGTGCAGAGAGGACTGGGCAGCAGTCGAAGGCGGAGACCTCGACGACCCAGTCCGCACACACAACAGCTGGCTCTTGGGACGTGGAACGTCACCTCACTGGGGGGGAAGGAGCCCGAGCTCGTGGGGGAGGTTGAGCGATACCGACTAGAGATAGTCGGCCTCACCTCCACACACAGCTTGGGCTCTGGAACCCAACTCCTTGAGAGGGGTTGGACGCTCCACTTTTCTGGTGTTTCCCGCGGGGAGAGGCGGCGAGCTGGGGTGGCCATTCTCATTGCCCCCCATCTCAGCCGCCACGTGTTGGAGTTCTCCCCGGTGAATGAGAGGGTCGCGTCCCTCCGCCTCCGGGTGGGGGATAAGTCTCTCACTGTTGTGACGGCCTACGGGCCTAACAGCAGTGCAGAGTACCCGGCCTTCTTGGAGTCCTTGGGAGGGGTACTGGACGGTGCACCGCCCGGGGACTCCGTTATTCTCCTGGGGGACTTCAACGCCCATGTGGGAAACGCCAGTGACACTTGGAGAGGGGTGATCGGGAAGAGCGGCCCCCCTGATCTGAACCCGAGCGGTGTTCAGTTGTTGGACTTCTGTGCCAGTCACAGTTTGTCCATCACGAACACCATGTTCGAGCACAAGGGTGTCCACCAGTGCACGTGGCACCAGGACACCCTAGGCCGGAGGTCGATGATCGACTTTGTTGTCGTATCATCTGACCTTCGACCGCGTGTCTCGGACACTCGGGTAAAGAGAGGGGCGGAGCTGTCAACCGATCATCACCTGGTCGTGAGTTGGATCCGCTGGCAGGGGAAGAAGCCGGTCAGACCTGGCAGACCCAAGCGTATAGTGAGGGTCTGCTGGGAACGTCTCGCTGAGCCCCCTGTCAGACGGACTTTCAACTCACACCTCCGGGAGAGTTTCTCCCAGGTCCCGGTGGAGGAGGGGGACATGGAGTCCGAGTGGACCATGTTCTCTGCCTCAATCGCCGATGCGGCGGCTCATAGCTGTGGTCGCAAGGTCTCTGGTGCTGGTCCCGGCGGCAACCCCCGAACCCGGTGGTGGACACCGGCAGTAAGGGATGCTGTCAGGCTGAAGAAGGAGTCCTATCGAGCCATGATGGTTCGGGGGACTCCTGAGGCAGCTGTCCAGTACCGGCAGGCCAAGCGTGCCGCGGCCCGGGCTGTTGCAGAGGCAAAAACCCGGGACTGGGAGGAGTTCGGAGAGTCCATGGAGCATGACTATCGGTCGGCCTCAAAGAAATTCTGGCAAACCGTCCGGCGCCTCAGGAGGGGGAAGCAGTTCTTTGCCAACACCATGTACGGTGCGGGTGGAGAGCTGCTGACCTCGACTGGGGATATTGTCGGGCGGTGGAAGGAATACTTTGAGGTTCTCCTCAATCCCCCCGTCACGTCCTCTGTTTCAGAGGCAGAGGCTGAGGATGTTGGGGCGGATACATCCATCTCCCTGGCTGAGGTCACCAAGGTGGTTGGTAGCCTCCATGGTGGCAAGGCTCCGGGTGTGGATGAGATCCGCCCTGATTATCTAAAGTCTCTGGATGTTGTAGGACTGTCTTGGCTGACACGTCTCTGCAACATCGCGTGGCAATCGGGGGCGGTGCCAATGGAGTGGCAGACCGGGGTGGTGGTCCCTCTCTACAAGAAGGGGGACCGGAGGGTGTGTTCCAATTATCGTGGGATCACACTCCTCAGCCTCCCCGGTAAGGTCTACTCCAAGGTACTGGAGAGGAGGCTACGGCCGATGGTCGAATCTCGGATCCAGGAGGAGCAGTGTGGTTTTCGTCCCGGTCGCGGAACACTGGACCAGCTCTATACTCTCCATCGGATACTCGAGGGTTCATGGGAGTTCGCCCAACCTGTCCACATGTGCTTTGTGGATTTGGAGAAGGCGTTCGACTGTGTTCCCCGGGGTGTCCTTTGGGGGGTTCTCCGGGAGTACGGGGTCGGGGGTCCTCTGCTGAGGGCCATCCGGTCCCTGTATGACCGGAGCCAGAGCTGTGTTCGCATTGCCGGCAGTAAGTCAGACCTGTTCCCGGTGAATTTTGGCCTCCGACAGGGCTGCCCTTTGTCACCGGTTCTGTTCACTGTATTTATGGACAGAATATCTAGGCGCAGCCAGGGGTCGGAGGGGGTCCGGTTCGGGGACCACAGGATTTCATCTCTGCTGTTTGCGGACGATGTTGTCCTGTTGGCTCCAACGAACCAGGACCTGCAGCATGCACTGGGACGGTTTGCAGCCGAGTGTGAAGCGGCTGGGATGAGAATCAGCACCTCCAAATCTGAGGCCATGGTGCTCGACCGGAAAAAGGTGCCCTGCCCTCTTCAGGTGGGTGGAGAGGTCCTTCCTCAAGTGGAGGAGTTCAAGTATCTCGGGGTCTTGTTCACGAGTGAGGGAAGAATGGAGCGTGAGATTGACAGGCGGATCGGTGCAGCGTGCGCAGTGATGCGGTCGCTGTATCGGACTGTTGTGGTAAAGAAGGAGCTGAGCCGAAAGGCAAAGCTCTCGATTTACCGGTCAATCTTCGTTCCCTCCCTCACCTATGGTCATGAGCTTTGGGTAATGACCGAAAGAACGAGATCGCGGATACAAGCGGTCGAAATGAGCTTCCTCCGCAGAGTGGCTGGGCGCTCCCTTAGAGATAGGGTGAGGAGCTCAGTCACACGGGAGGAGCTCGGAGTAGAGCCGCTGCTTCTCCACGTCGAGAGGAACCAGTTGAGGTGGCTCGGGCATCTGTTCCGGATGCCTCCTGGACGCCTCCCTGGGGAGGTGTTCCGGGCACGTCCCACCGGGAGGAGGCCCCGCGGAAGACCTAGGACACGCTGGAGGGACTATGTCTCTCAGCTGGCCTGGGAACGCCTTGGGGTCCCCCCGGACGAGCTGGAGGAAGTGTGTGTGGATAGGGAAGTCTGGGCGTCTCTGCTTAGACTGCTGCCCCCGCGACCCGGCAACGGATAAAGCGGAAGAAAATGGATGGATGGATGGATGGTCATCAGTCTTGTAGTTCTTGTGTTCTCATTTGGAAATTCAAATGTCTTCAAGAATTGGCCCAATCCTCTAAAGCCAAGCAGGCTTTACACAGAGGCACACAGGAGAGCTATTTTATCCTTTTGAAGGTAGAGGTCCTATCTACAACCTGAAGCGAGGCCATTGCTTGGCTGCTTCCTCGCTGTGGTCTCATGAATGAGAAACAGACCTATTTGTAGTCGCAAATGAAGTGGGCGCCATACCGCGGGAGCTGGGTACAAAGCGACAGGTCATTGCATACAGCCCAGCTCTAGCTTCCTGTAAGTGTTGCAATCAGATTTCAGATGGTTTTTAATGTCGCTCAATCGCACCAACATTTCTCCCACCTGACCTGTTATGCAGCCTGCTGAGAAATAATGAGATTTTGTCCTTTATTTTGATGCTTCCTGGGCTTGAACACACAAACCATCAACCAACACTCACACCAAACACCCGACCAGACTGTTGGGCAGGTTTTCTATTCCCTTTATAGCTGCAATGATCATTTGTGTCACCTCAGTCAATTTTACAAATGTGTTAATTAGACTAATAAAGAGATTTACTTCAAGTTCAATATTGTGAAATTGTTTTGTTCCTCTGCTTAGTAGATGCAGCAATTGGCTCAATACTGCAAAGTTGAGTTGTATCTGCCGATATATTTTACCATGATAGGTTCAGGGTTGACAACTAGGGCTGTAACAAGTTCATTTATGAATTGCAACTATTTGATAATTGAAATAATTGGCAACTAAATTTGTAATCTAATAATTGTTTGACAACCATGGGCTGCTGAGGTAAGGTTTTATCACTCAAATATTTCTAGAATGTTTAATAATTCATCTCTATGAAGATGTTCTCCTGGGCAGCACATGAGCTTTGTTTTGCTCAAATGTTTAAAAACATCCCATTAGACTTTTCAGCATATAACCCACTCCTGTAATCGATTAATCAAAAGCATAATACCACAACTAATTGATTATCAGAATAAACGGTGATTTCAGTCTTAATGACAACAGTGTGACCATTTAGTTTCGCCAAAGCTGTTTATGTGCCATAAAACATGACACTCATGGTAAATGTAGACAATGACTAAAACTATCCAAGCACTAAAAAGGACAGAATTGGAGTGGACACCAGATAGACTAAACATTTCTGAACTCCTCACGCATACAGTAGACAAGTGGAACCATTTTCAGCCGTCATGCTGCATGGTGCTGCTGGATGGATATTCTGACCCACATTATACCTAAATCATTGTGCCTCTGCTTTTTCTGTCTTGTTTTACCTTTGGCTGAGTTCTCACTTATCCAAACATCTTTAACATCAGCCAAACTGTACATGTACTATAACGCACGCTGGAATGTAGTGATAGAATACTTAAGCCATGGAGACACCCTTCAGGCCATACCAATTTCCTCTAAAGCAGAATAGTGGAAGAGGTCTTACATTGCAGGCACATTTTGCTACTTTATTTTCACTGCATTTGCTTTTCTTGTTTCAGGCTTCTTCACAGCAGCTGAAATTTACGACTTCAGACTCGTGTGACAGAATCAAGGATGAGTTCCAGTTTCTTCAAGCACAGTATCACAGGTGACCGCAACACACAGTATTTTGGACTTAAAGACTTTTTGGTTTGTTAGTATTGAGTATTAGTAGGGGCGGCAGTAGCTCAGTTGGTAGAGCGTTGGCCTTTGAGCCAGAAGGTCGTGGGTTCAAGCCCCGCTCAGGACTTTCACCATCGACTCCCACTGACTACTGTCGTTGTGTCCTTGGCAAGACACTTAACCTCTGGGAACACCAGCCACAGTGGGGCGGCTGCGGCTGTAAAGTGCCAAACTGCTGTTGTGTCCTTAGGCAAGACACTTCACCCCCATTGCCTAGAATGAGTCTGGTGTGTGTGTGAATGGTTGGTGGTGGTCGGAGGGGCCGATGGCACAGACTGGTTGCCTCGCTTCTGTCAGTGTGCCCCAGGGCAGCTGTGGCTACATTAGTAGTTTATCACCACCGTGTATGGAGTGAATGAATAATGACACATGTGAAGCGTCTTCGAGTGTCCAAAAAAGCGCTATATAAAACCGATGCATTATTATTATTGTATACTGTATCCAATTTTGTTAAGGCAATTTGTATATAATTAGGGCTGCAAAAAGTTCATACATTTATTGCAACTAATCAATGAACTACTAGGCTACTACTTGATTACTAGCTTTAGTAGAACAACTAAACGATTCATCAAAAGAAAAATCAGTATTATCAATGTACAGTTTATTACTGCCCTTATTTTTCACAAAAGGTTGTGATCATGTGACATCACATATTTCCAAAAAGCCTATAGTTTAAAATTGCTGCAGAAGGTAGCTGAAAAATCTTTGTTAATTGTCAAGATTTCTCCTTTACTAATTTATCCAATTCCTGAGGCAATCCAGAAGAAACAAAAAGGCTCACATAGATCCATCTCTTCTTTGTCAGTACATCTCAAATATGGTCTAATTCTTTTCCCATAAAGGTGTCGAGCAGTGGTGAAAATATAGTAAGAAAATATATGCATAATGTTGACCTGTAGAAAGGACAATCAGAGTACAATGTGGCAAGTTTATGAATCTAACCACTCAGAAAATGATCTGGGAACATTTTTTTTTAATTAATAGCTGTATTTCAATTGGCGTTTCTACAACATGATCGCAACCTATAAACTACACACGAAAGAAGTATCCTCTCTGTTAACTAGCGACATCTCTTTACATCAGAGCTGACAGTCACTGGCACAGTTCCTGGACCGGCCTCGAGTGATCTTTTCACAGCCGTTATGAAGTTGGGGCGCCGTAGGGTCTAGCACAGTGAGCTCTGTCTTGTGGAAGACTTTGAAGGATTTTGGTTTGTTGTACCTGTTCTCCCAGGCTTCCTCCACCGTTACAGACTCTGGCAAACACAATGAAAGCCATGCGTGTACTGTCTGCGTGGAAATCCCAGCTCTGGTTGGATTGCTCTTGTTTGGGATGGATTCTGAAGCCAACGTAGCACTGTGCGCGCCTTCTTCCTCGCCTTTGGTTTTTGTAATTCCCACAACAATGAGCAGCAGCGTTTAACCCTCCTTCAGAAAGCCAGGGCGCAGTTGAAAGAATTCTCGCGCTGAACATGTATACAGTGCGGAGGAGATTGCGGCGGGGGCCTGTGAGCGCACATGAGGCTTTGTAGCACGCTGCGGCTCTGTTGTGACTGTCATTTTCAGAAGCTTTAAAAGGCAAATGTACCGCGGGCGTTCCCTGGGGCATTGTGTCTTCCTCTGCTCCTCTCGTCTCCCCTCCTCCTCTGCCTCACTCACGTGCATAAATAGATCAGGGAATACATAAATCAAAATAAAGATGACAGCAGGAGCGATTTAGAAACGGAAGCATCGGCAATAAAACTCCATCAAAGTGTCGTTTGCGATCAGCGGCGTGCGCCCGGGAGCTGCCGTGCCCCAATCAGCGGTACAAAGCCATTTCCCTGCCTGGCCTACAGCAAGGAAGCGGTTGTCATGGCAACTCATGGCCAAGCATACACAATTACACAATAATAAAAACGAAGGTTTGCTGGGTGGCTAGTGAAGCATTCTGATTAAATGTGTGTTGTGTATGCTAATGCGTGCTCCTGTCAGCAAAGACATTCAAGTTGTGTGTCTTAATGGAGCCATCATAGCTATTCCCTCGCATCTATCAAGCGTGTTTAATTGGTTCCTTTTTTAGGCTGAAACTCTTGACATGTGCTGCTTCGTTAGGGCTGGCTAATGTTATATCAAAGCACACTGTACAAATGTGCTGTGGGTACGTTTCCCTTAGGACTGCATGTGTGCTGCTTCTGGTTTTCATCTCAAAAGTGAAGGTCAGGGGAAAAGTTCATTTAAATGCTACAGCTAACACCGTGAGCACTACCCACTCACTAACTGCAGCGCATTTACATATTGGAAAAACATGTTGATTAACTTGCAATATTTCAATTTAGCTAAAGAAAAGCTAAACAGTGGCTGAGTGGGAGGTGCATGACACACAGCAAGAAGGTTACTGGTTCAAATCCTGTGGCGTCCTTGTACTCATGCTTACCCATTCTTCTCAAATTGTGAGGCTTGTGTGTTGCCAGGGACGCCAGCGATCCATCTATTATCTATTATATTACCTGTGTGACCCTGGAAGACATGTTAGTTTTTCTCTCTGCATTTGGATTCTGGCATATGCGCAAGTTTCATTTTTCATGTGCAAAAAGTGACTGGACACCACTTCAGTCTGCGCTGTCCAGTTCACACTTCTCCATTGATAAAACCAGAGCAGGAGCACTGCCACATCTCCAGCCGTCACTCGAGCTGGCGACCGTCACACTCGGAAGGAGAAGTCCTTCATACTATTGAACTCTGTTGTTACACGGCCAAAGGAGTGCGATCTCTTCTGAATATGCAAATGCATATGCTGCACAATGTTTTGGCACATCCTGAAGGGAGCAGAGAGTAGCTACAGAACACACACTCACGCATACACACACAGATACACACAAAAACAGAGCATAGCACAGAACAGAGTGTTTCTAATAAGTAAATCTGAAAGAACATTTCATCAAACTAATGTGGATGTTAAAAGCTCAGTACACAAAGTAAGTAGTAGTAACAAAGCGGTTTACAATTGTTGTGGACATTTATCTCTCACTCCACAGGGAGATGGGAGCGGGGCCAGTACAGGAGGCGCATGCCAGACTTATTGTACATCTTTTTAGTGGTAGGGGAAACCGGAGTACCCGGAGGAAACCTACGCAGACACGGAGAGAACATGCAAACTCCACTCAGAAAGGCCCTGTAGCGACTGGGATTTGAACCCAGGATCTTTTTGCTGAGAAGCGAGGGTGCTATCCACTCAGCCACCGAGCCGCCCTAGGCACAGTGGCTGAACCACCAAGGTCTGGTGTCAGAATGACATGAAACACCAAGTCCTCCAAACGTATTATTTAAAAACCTAATTGTCATCTTTAATCTAATGAAAATTTAAGATTATAATAATGCATCATTTTTAAATAGTGCGTAGACCATAAAGTGTACCTTCCTCAACCTTTAAAGTGAATGTCAGTTACTTCTCAAATTATGAAGAAAGAAAATTTTCACCATAGTTTCAGTGTCGATACAAGAGCAGCCATCTCTTCTTTTTGTAAGAACGTACACTTTCCTAGCCTGGCCTTATCCATCTGTAAACTCCGCTCAATCATCATGTCACTGCACGTAATGTCTGGGTCTGGTCCCTGTGTTTGCGATTAAAATCGGTTGAATTTCGACCGACAAATCAGAGAGCGTGGGAGGCGGGTGTTGTAGTTAGTTGTGGATGACGTCAAGAGTTTGCGTCAAACGGGAAGGTTGTCATGTAGGTGAAAAACAAGGAGACCCAAAAATGCAAAACTGCAAAAAATAATTGATTTAATAAAAAGATAAAACAAATCCAAAACACAGGGAACGAGGACAGAACTAAAACAGACGAGGGATGACAATGACGGAGCAGGGAGTGAAGGAACACACAGGGCTAAATGGGTGTGTTCACAGTAAAGTGACAAGTATCTGGACTTTAAAAGGTTATAACTTCAAAACTAAAATTACTTTCATAGATTGGAAAAAAGATTTCAAACAGACAGATTGAAGTGATAGTGTGGAAAAAATCAAAAGGAAAGATTGACATAAAAATGTTTAGCAACATTTTAAACGACCAAATCGGCCTCTGATTGGACCATTCTACTGTGACGCCAGTTACATAGAAAATAAATGTCCTCAGTCTGAAAAAGCAGAAGATGAAATCCCACAAGATTTACATGGTTAACACAACAGAAGAGAATCACTTGATATAAAAAGGAATCGTAAAAAAATAAAAATCTGGTCGTTTTCTCATTTAATTGGTTGACAATATGAAAGTATCACTTTGCATCTACTTTGTGTAAAAAAATAGAATCTCTGAATGAAATGTGGACATCTGAAAATACCTATCAAACTTCCACAAAGCTCATTCCGTCAAATCATCACGTCCGTTACATAAAATAAACAGGGCCGCTATAGGAAACTTGTCTAATGTATAAAACAGTTATGTTCTAGCAACTTCTAATGGACAGAGGAGGTGCTTGGAAACATGAAAAACATAAAATATCTTCTGATTATTAAAATCTAATTTTTGGCCTTTTGTCACACTTTTGTGCCCTTTAGTGTGAACAAGCCCAAATACAAGACTAACAAGACACAGGTGAGACAGATGAGGACAGGGCAGGGCAGGTAATCAGACAACAGGAAGTACAACCAAAGAAGACACAGGGATAACACATTTCAAAATAAAACAGGAAATAAACTTAAAACATGACAAAGGTTGTAGTTTGGCAATGCCGAAAAATGAGATAGTAAAGTAATCCGGTCTGTTCCTAACAAGAAATCGAAGCCAGAGCAAGAGTAATGTTTAGCAAATGTAATCGCTGGCAAATATTGTGGCACTACTCCCCACGGCTCTGTTAGCGGCAAAGGAGATGGCTAGGCTAAATGCTAAATGCTAACGACAGACTCGGGCGCACTACATACGTCACGGTAAACTCAGATCCAATCGTTTCAATCTGCAAAAGGAGTTTACCCCTCCCACCTGTAAACGGAGCTCAATGGAGCACCTCCAGACCTTAGTACGAAATGTAATTTGTACTATGGTGTGGTACGACCAGGCTAACACTGTCCTGGTCGTAGCAAGCAATAAAAAATACTTTAAATCGTCAACTTTCCAGCAGTTGAAAAAGTCCAAATCAAATCAATGCAATACACAGACAAGTTCAATTTGCATATTACATTTTGGGTTTATAACATATTTATCGTGAGTGTTCCAAGTTAATGGCATGTAGAGTTTTTTGTCAAGTTGACCAACACCACTCAAGCCACAACATCTTCCTAGAGACTAGATACAAATAAAAGTTGATTGATTGATTGAACAAATGTTTAGGTCATTCTGTACTTGTGCTACCTGTCAGTCATTACATTTTTATGTACTTATATATACCAGCCTTTTACCAGCTTCTACCTTCACAGTATCGTGTGTGCTAACGTGACTAGGATGAGACTAATGCCACGCACAGTCAACCAGTGTCCCTGAGATGGCTTTGTCATTCGTGTAGACAGTTAGAACATCCCAGAATAAATATCCACACGGCATCAAACAGCTCCAGACTGCAGCTGTATCTGTGCCTCTGTGAAGCGTGCCAGCACATATCTTTATTTGATCTGAGCCACATCCGGTCGTCACGTCGGATAAGGCTGTCTGACACAGGCAGGTTGTAACCAGCTGCTTCACTAAAATCTCACTGTAGGGATTTCTCTTTTTTTAACCTCCGTTGATTCCTTGAGACACTCAGTGACTTGTTGACGTGTCCTTTGTCCTGTCTCCTCGCATGACATCAGAGCTGACATGATTACTGCTAATGGCTGTCACTGTGATGGGCTTGCCTTGTATATTTTAGGCTATTTCAACTGCCTCTACACGCTTGAATGAAGGCAGACTTTTGGAATGGATTTTCTGTTCATCAAAGTAAACGAGCTTTACTTCTTGCATAAATTGCCACATTGTCAATCAGAGTGTCAGCGCGTTGATTAAAGGCTCATGTTGGAAATGGGTACATAGGCTTCTGTCCAACTCGGGTCTGAGCTGAGGCAGGTGCAGGTGATGATGCGACTCTAGTCAAAGTGAACCTTATCAGAATGAAGGGAGTATGTGACTCACACGACTGATGCGCTCCTCTGTCCACAGCCTCAAGCTTGAATGTGACAAGCTGGCCAGCGAGAAGTCAGAGATGCAGCGCCATTATATCATGGTAAGTACAACCCAAATAATTCATACAAGCCTTTTACCTTAGTGTTGTAATGTATCGTCCATCATTTAGTGAACAATATGATTTAACTAATTGTTGATCAATTACTGTTCATCTCCACAACACAAAGCTACAGGAGGGAGTTAAAGGAGCTATACCCGTTTCTGCAAGGTTTGAATGTTTAGCACCGCCCCCAACTCGCTCACAGGCTTCTCATTGCCTCTACGCTCTCCTCCCACGGAGCCATCTAGTTTTATTTGCGATCTGATCAAGCCCCGGCGATCCAAGATGGCGCCCTATTCAAATGAATGGATGTGCTCAGTGGCGCTTTGTGCCAGCATGGGGGCTGAAAAATTAGCGGAAGTCGCCTGGAAGTTGCAAAGATCTATGGGAAACTCGCCTGTATTTGGGCATCGTCTGGTCTTCCCGGTTCTGCGCAGTGGATGATCTCCCATAATGCGTTGCGCCAAACACGCGTGTGTGGGTCTCACACCGGGTCTCACGCACGTGCACAGAGGGGCTCGGCCGCGCTCTGACCAATCAGAGCAGTTCATCAGAGCGGAAGTTAGAGCAAGAGCCAGACGAGCAGAGTTTGTAGCACCAAAGGGTGGATTTAAACAAAACCGAAGGATTTAAGAAGAAAAAAAGTTCAGGATGACAAGGGATACTAAAATCCCCACAAAATCAGACCTTTATGAAAGCTGTAGGTTCTCTGTCAGCTGAGGATGAGCTGTTTTATTATGTATTGAGTTCTATGGGGAAAATTTCTGGGTGGCCCACGTGAATTTAGTCTGGTTCAGAGTAGTCCGAGCATAGATAGTCCGAGGCAGTCCCGCACTCGCAGGTCTCTCCCATAGACTGTAGGCCCCGTCCCAATTCTCACCCTTGCCCTTAGGTGTGAGTACCCTCACCAGTAAAGTGCCTTCCCAGTGGGGAGTGCACTCACAACATTCTCCCTTAGAAATGGGACACCCCTGGATCTAGGGGACAATATGCAAATTACGCAGCAGACGTGTTCCACGTCACACACATTATCAAAGTGTCTGATTTCACTACAGATAAGATCTGACACAGATATGGCTTTATGAAACTCAGAATTAAAAACTTCTCCTTTTAATAAATACAATTTCATATGAAGTTGCTATAATTAGGTACAGAACTGCTGCACATCACTCACTCAGAGACAGACGCACACAGACACACATGTACACACATAGAGGCAGACACACACACTCACACACAGACGCATGAAGGTACGCGCACAGAGAAGTACCACACAGACAGACACATGTACATACACGTACGCGCACAGAGACGTACCACACAGACACACATGTACATACACGTACGCGCACAGAGACATACCACACAGACAGACACATGTACATACACGTACGCGCACAGAGACGTACCACACAGACACACATGTACATACACGTACGCGCACAGATGTACATACACGTACACGCACAGAGACAGACACATGTACATACACGTACACGCACAGAGACAGACACATGTACATACACGTACACGCACAGAGACAGACACATGTACATACACGTACACGCACAGAGACAGACACATGTACATACACGTACACGCACAGAGACAGACACATGTACATACACGTATACACACAGAGACAGACACATGTACATACACGTACACGCACAGAGACGTACCACACAGTCGCATGTACATACACGTACACGCACAGAGACATACCACACAGACACATGTACATACACGTACACGCACAGAGACGTACCACACAGACACATGTACATACACGTACACGCACAGAGACATACCACACAGACACATGTACATACACGTACACGCACAGAGACATACCACACAGACACATGTACATACACGTACACGCACAGAGACATACCACACAGACACATGTACATACACGTACACGCACAGAGACATACCACACAGACACATGTACATACACGTACGCGCACAGAGACATACCACACAGACACATGTACATACACGTACACGCACAGAGACATACCACACAGACACATGTACATACACGTACACGCACAGAGACATACCACACAGACACATGTACATACACGTACACGCACAGAGACATACCACACAGACACATGTACATACACGTACACGCACAGAGACATACCACACAGAGACAGACGGGTACAGCCGCGGTTCCTGCACATGCCTCGGAGCTTCCTCCCGTTCACCACAAACTTGTGCGCAGGTGTTTCATGTTGTTTTCTTTCATTGTGGTGTGGCTTTGCCTCACAGCTACTTCAGCAACAGCTATTTTACGAACAAAAATCGGGTATAGCTTCTTTAATCACTGGAGTTTTTCTGTGTGAACATGAAGGAAAGTGAGGAATAATGAGAAAGAATGATTTTACTCCATAAGCACTCCTGTGGCCTACCACCTATTGCCTTATTTAGGGAAGTGTCCCACATTGAAGTGACAGTACTTTTTTTTTTTTTTTTTTGCTTTACTTATAAATGACGCAGGAGATGTGTCGCCTCCAGTTTCTTTTAATATTATCCACTACGACCCTGTAATCCCTGCCCTTCAGCTCGAGTTGCAAATGCCAATAGAAGCCATTGAGCAGTATGCTGTATGCCTGCACTCCTCTCCTCCTCTGCTTCTGTCACTGCACATGCCACACACAGATGTGCTTAGTGCTGCACTCGGGCTAATTTCATTTTGCTGGACGTTGCTGTGTAACTGTCTGATGTTTTGTGTCTAATTGATCCTCTGACTGGATTTAATCTCATCTACTCTGCACCGGCACACTGCTCTCTCCACACTTGTCAGGTGCACACAGACACTTGAGCACACACACACACACGTGCACACACACCCGCACACGCAGATACAAACACAGCCACACATAGAGGCAGGCGTGAACACTCCCACACTCTCCGGCTGATGAATGCTGAGCCAAAATGGTGGAGATCGTTCTGGTTTAAGCGTCTCATATCTGCCGAATAGAGCAGTTCACAAATTCAACAGATATTCAGCTTGGGATAATACGTTGAAAGTAAACGGCACAGATCCACGTTGTTTGTGTTTTGGTTGTCTGTTTGCAAAACTGTGCTATACAAATAAACTTGCCTTGCCTTGCCATGTGTGGGATTAGCAGCTTGACCTTTAAGGTGTTTGTGGTGTATGAAATGCTAAGAGAGTGCAGAGTCCAGTCTAGAGGACGTCTATCTATGGAAAGTTCAGCTCTGTCAAACGTGTTGTTTGTGTGAAGGATTTAACCCCCGAGAGAGCATAGCACTTGTGTTATCGCCACACAACCCACATTTGCAGTTTCATCCAGCAGCAGTGAAACAGCCAGAGTCAAGAAGAACTTGCTCCAATTAGCCAGAGATTTTCAACTGAGATATATCTGTCTTTCAGCACCTGTATTTACCGTTTGGCACATTCACCGAAACCGTATAGCGGCACAGTGAACACACAGGTCTCTACACTTGAGCAATTACGTTGTGCTCCTGCCATCAGCGTCCGTGCCCCCCTTTTTCCTCTAATAGCTTGTCAGGTCGACCCTCTCCCCCGGTCACTGGCTGCACCTCCATTTCCCGCTGCTGTAATTACTTTAGGGAGCTTGATGTGGGCTCCAAAGGGGGAGAGCTGTACTGTATGTGTGCAGTGTGCATGTGTCTGTGAGGCAGGCTAGAAAAACAATAACTTGTATTTTTTGTGTGAGCAGTGAGTGAGTGTGTGAGTGATGTGCATGTGTGTGCAGTGTTTGTTTTGTTTTGTGGCCTCAGACAGGATGATTAACACAGAGTGGCCTCTCATTAACACTGAATACTCGGCTTCTGCCTCTTTGTCTACACTACTTTGTGAAAACGGTACATTATGAGTGCAAGGGGCCTCGTATGTCTGTATGATTTCATTTATACTTTAGTCTTTATTTCATAGATTACATTTATTCTTATTGAAAATGTTCTGAGACAACAAATCCTATGACCAGTAAAGGACTGAAATCACTCTAAATCATACATTTAAAAAATGCTATATTTTCTAGTTTAAGGCTTGAGGAAGTAGTTTCTTGGTAGGCAGGACTGGTACTGTAACGCTAATGGCACAAACATTTTCTAACAAAATATTCATAAATATGTTCCTATGTGTTTTAGATGGCAGCCATTTGAGCTATTTAATGTGTTTGATTATAATTGTAATATTGTTATAAATGTATTGTTACCAGTTTAATACAAAATGATCTGACATGTTCTTTTGTTTCGTTTGATTCTAGTACTATGAGATGTCCTATGGGCTGAACATTGAGATGCACAAACAGGTACGTTGATTCAGCTTTTGGTTATTTATATTAGGAAAGGTTTGCATCACAACGTTGTCATCATTCACATCTTATCTAAGCTGCCAGGGCCAGATGGATGTGTAGCACTGCGGTCTATCTGAGCACTGGCTGACAGCCTTCAGGAAAATGTGGATACATCAATCTGATTGGTCATGACATCACAACAGTGGGACTAGCAAAGCAATACAACTTTTGATTGATCAAATAACTATAATAAAGGCAACTCTTTCTCCTGCATATTTTTAAGAGCAAATAACAGGTCCATCGGCCTTTCCCTCCTTTTATCCATCCTCTTCTATTCTATTGTTTTTTTTGTTCTGTAAACTTCTCTTTGCTTTCAACATGCAAGGGGCATCTCCTAATGCAGTGCTAGTAATAGTTAGCGGTTGAAACAATGGGGCTTGTGTTGACTGATTCTCAGCCCGCTGCTCCTCTCCACACAGCTGCTTGTGATGGTTCAGGGTGTTTCTGAAGACAGTCCCCTGAGGCCCACGTCGGGCTGTGGTGTTGACAGACGCAGATGTTTCCTGCACACCTGCAGCTCTCTGATTGGCAGCTGTGTGTTGCACTGATAATATAACTTTGAGGTGTTTCAACAGATATGAAGAGCGCTGCTCCTTGCTCCGCGCTGCTATTGTACGGTGGGAGCAGGAGAAGCTATAAGGAGAAAAACTATTGCCATGGTCAAGCAAAACATTTAACATTATTTTTGGCCTTTCAAGTATAAAATATTTGGTCAAAAATGATGGAGGGCAAAAAATGTTTTCTGTCTTTAACTCCCTATGCTTCCACCAGAGAGTTGCATTTTTTCACACTAAATTAGAAAATTACCGGCATTTGCAGATCTAATTGATGGTCAATACTTTTGTTGTAAATGGGAGAAAACTACTCTGAGTGTGATGTCATAGTGGTACAAAGGCAGCATTCAATTAAAGGACTTTAATCGGGAACTTTTAGACAGAAGTCGCGGAATTACATGTTTGTAACAACTCCAGGGTTGCTATAACATAGTGAAAAGATCTGAAGTCAATGTAGTATACTGTCTCCTTTAACATTAGCGCTGAAGTCTCCCCTCCCCCTGTCCTCACACCCGCCATGATGAACACAGTTGGAAGGAACCAAAAAGCACAGATGCACGTAAAAGCAGACAAGCGCAGTGATTTAGCGGCGGCACAGCTTATGCATCCTCACAAAACACACACCGGAAAGACCATGCTGCGTTAATTGAGCTATTCATTTTATCACCGCTCATCCCCTATCCGACAGCCAAGAAGCCCATGGTCAAAGCCTTTTTTTTTCCCCTGGCCCCTTTGTGATATTGTACATTTCTCACGTGTAGAAGAAAAAATAAGCCCACCCATTCACCTTTTGCGGCCAACCTGCGTGCGGTCGGGTGCGTTTTGTTTGAGAGCCTTCCTGTTGTCCCTAATGCGCACTGTCCCGCTTCCTTTGTGCGGCGCTCGTTCCATTAGTGAATTGAGATTGAAGGGTTACAAGTGTGGAGGCACATTCATGTTGAGGCCTATTGTGGCAAGCCCGTTTCTCACACTCTTGTTCATCTCAATCTGCTTGGCTTTTATTTTTAGTATCCTTTTAATGAGCAGTTTATAGTTCAACTTCCAAGCTGCTGTTTGACTTTCATATGTGGGCTTGTTCACACTAAAGGGCACAAAAGTGTGACAAAAGGCCAAAAATTTGATTTTAATAATCAGAAGATATTTTATGTTTTTCATGTTTCCAAGCACCTCCTCTGTCCTTTAGAAGTTGCTAGAACATAACTGTTTTTTACATTAGACAAGTTTCCTATAGCGGCCCTGTTTATTTTATGTAACGGACGATGATGATTTGACGGAATGAGCTTTGTGGAAGTTTGATAGGTATTTTCAGACGTCCACATTTGATACAGATATTCTATTTTTTTTACACAAAGTAGTCAATCAATTAAATGTGAAAACAGACCAGATATTTTTTTTCTCAAGTTTAATTTTTAGAGAAAAGAGGACCGTCCTCATCACGTCCGTTATACATTTTTCAGGGGTCATTTAATTAATACATTATTTTTTATTTTTTTACGATTCCTTTTTATACCAAGTGATTCCCTTCTGTTGTGGTAACCATGTAAATCTTGTGGGATTTCATCTTCTGCTTTTTCAGACTGAGGACATTTATTTTCTATGTAACTGGCGTCACAGTAGAATGGTCCAATTAGAGGATGATTTGGTCGTTTAAAATGTTGCTAAACATTTTTATGTCAATCTTTCCTTTTGATTTTTTCCACACTATCTCTTCAATCTGTCTGTGTTTGAAATCTTTTTTCCAATCTATGAAAGTAATTTTAGTTTTTAAGTTATAACCTTTTAAAGTCCAGATACTTCAATTGTCACTTTACTGTGAACACACTCATGTAGATCTTGAACACTGTTTTTCTTTATCATTTATTGCTAAGTTACATCTTCATCTCCCGTCTCTCATGAGTACATTGTAAATGAATAGTTTCTTTACAGAGTGTTAAGATTCAGACGGGGCGGCAGCAGGTGGTGCAGCGGCTAGTGTTTCACAGCAAGAAGGTCCTGGGTCCCATTCCAACTCCAGGCTTTCTGTGTGAAGTTTGCATGTTGTGTTTCTCTGTGTCTGCGTAGGTTTCCTCCAGGTGCTCCGGTTTCCCCTACCAACTAAAAACATGTACAATCGGTCTGAATGTAAGGAGTCAGTGAATGGATGGTGTTGGGTGGGGGGGGCTTTGATTCACCAGTGTGTTCGGCGTCTCACTTCTGTCATTGCCGTGTGTGAAGTGGATGGAAAAATGTCTGAACTCTGAACATTGTAAAGTGCTTTGGTTGACCTTGGTCTGTAAAATGCGCTGTATCAATATAGATTACTTACTTACAGAAAATAAAATAAACTCTGTCAACCCAGCTTTTTCAGGCAGAATGAAAAGAAGATAATTTTTGTTACACTTTTTGTCACACTAGTTGATTTCTTACAGTTGTAAAGATGCAAATGTGCTAGAAAGTGTACACATGCAGCCATAAATGTCATTTTTCATGAATGAGAATACGCAGTCATTGTTAGTGGTTGTGTTACGCCATATTGTCAACATAATTGATTCTAAACATGCAGTTCATTCAAGACAACCCAGGAATTTCAGAGATTGGAGATTTTTTGGCAAGAAGAACCTCATTCACAACCACCAAAACGGTGTAAATAGTGGGGGGAAGAGTGTAGAGTCAGAGAGTGTTGTCTTTGTTGTGTGCATGAGTGAGGGGTCGGAGATTACCATTTTGCTTTTTTTCTACACAGTTTACGGTTTTTGTACGAATTTGGAGTTTGAAATAAAAATAATTACTACTACTACTACAAAAGTCTCTGAGCCGCCAATGATGTTAAATGGGAAACACACACTGTTGAGAATTTGTGCTCGGGTCAGAAGAGGAGTTTCTGTGGTCATTATCATTTGGAGAAAAAGAAAAAGTTGGAGCTGGGATTTAGAAAATAGTGCTTCTGTTATCATTCATAACCTCAGATAAAAATAAGAAAATCCAAAGTGTTATAGCATAACTGCATAGTGTAATCTACTCCACTTTAGTTCAATCCATGACATTTAATCCATTTAGCCAAAAGCAAAATCAAAATCACTATTGTTTTAAAACCCGAGTGAAAGACAGTGCGACAGAGGGCAGAGAAGAGGGGTAAATGCATAAAGGCTACGAGGGAGTGGCACTGCACAGAACGAGGCTTGCGGGGACATTTCCGAGGCATTTTGGAGATGTCAGCGCTGGATGTGTAATGACAAGTGGATGGGAGCTGTGCGCTGCATGCCTAATGACTGTGAGGAAAGGCCGCCTTCTCCTCAGCACCACGGATTAGGCTCTAACACAATTACTGCTGCTTTGCATATCTCCGACGGATTGGATGATTACCAACCAAATGTGATGATAGATGTGCGTGTGAGAGCGGTGCGTGCAGCTCTGAGCGCAAGGCGGCGGTGTCTTAGCTGCTCAGTTAATGAATGGGATAAAAGGAGGCGATATATGCTCGAACATGGAAGTGCGCCGCGTCCTGCTTTCAGAAGGTCATATGATGCACTTCCTCACAGACAAGTGCGTGGGCCCAAACACGAGTCACTCCGGTGCTTAGTCTAGCTCTTATAACAAAACCGACGCCTAAAGACTTATACATGTATGCTAAAATATTTAAAGGTAGATTTGATGGTAAATGGTGCGCAATAGGGAGGCCCACAATGATTAGGGTGGGTGGCCTCTTTTTTTGAGGCACTTTAGTAGTTGCTGAGGTACAATACAATACAATACAATGTATTCTTGTATAGCCCTAAATCACAACAGAAGTCATCTCAGAGGACTTAACAAAACCATTGAAATCACCAACACAGATCAGAGAATCAACAGTTAAAACACATAAAGAATATAGAACACATGTTAAAAAAAAATCATACGTGTTGTAGAATGTTAAAGTGTCCTGGATCATCACCACAGTCCTTTTTGTTGGACTCTAACTGTCCAACAGACCCTCCTGCATCAGCAAGTAAAAACTCAAAAAAAGAAAACAGTGGTAAAAAAGTGAGAAACCTCGGGGAGACCCACAAGTTGAGAAAGGGATCCGCTCCCACGGACGGACGGGCTATAGATCCAGGACCTAAGCTACAGAACGTGGACCAGTGGCCGCTGAACGTGGACAGGTCCGGTACAGGACTGAAGCACTCCCAGGCGGGTCGGGCGGGGCAGTCCGCAGGTGTAGATGGAGGAGGCCAGGTCCAGAGGTCCTGTCATCGTACCATGAAACGGACAATGGGACAACGGGTGAATAGCAATGAACAGCCTACAGTCAAAATCCTAATACTACAGATAAAGTAGGAAGGAGGAGAGGATAGTGCTCACGTTACCATAGGTCAGGAAATGTTTGTACACAATCATAATTTGTCATTCCAGTACACCAGACTTAAAAATGTTCACTCAAAATGT